GGCGAATTCTGCCTATACTGAGTAGATTGCATATCTTATAAACATTTTAAGAAATCTGAGAACATCTCTTTTTTTTACTTGAGGTCATTTTTGAGATTTCTTTTTGCTTCAAATTAATAAACTTGACTAAATAAATATCTGCTCTTAGAGTATTTTCATAACTTCTAGAATTTCTAGCGAGAAAAAAATGATATTTTTTTTTCGATATTAGAAATTATTTACTATTATATTATTATGATAATAGTAGATTCGAATGTCATTCAGAAAATCATCGAAAAATAAACTAAATATGTTTATATCATATAAGATAAGAAATTCTACGAAAGAATTTGTAAGTTATATTATATCAATTCGATATTATTGTTCTTATTTTCATTATTGCTTTAACAAATATGTTTAAGTATGATAATAATTTCTTTTCATTACTAAGAAAACAGATCTAAAAACAATTTAGAATTTGGAAAAAATCAAAAAAATTTTTTTTGATAAAACTATAACGAGTTTTCATCATTTTAATGAAAGTCTTTTTAGTCTAATGAAACTACTTAATGTATTAAGATGATATTGTATCACAAGTATCAAACATGGCTGATGAATGATAGTTTATGCTTAATTGAAAAAAGGATTGACTTTTATTTTAAAAAAGTTATACAATTAAAAGAGCAGCTCAGAGATAAATCCTAATTAATGTATTATAGAGATCGTTTTTCAACCTCTATCATGAAAAACTTAAAGTGCACACGACTTTAAGCATCTTGATATTTTATTTCATCATTTTTTTTCGAACATCCTATACGATACGAAAATGAGCTGAATATCGCTGAAAGAATTGTAAGATTTTCTTTTCAAATTCTAATACTAAACTAGAACATAGAAATCTCCTTAGAATTTTATATTAAGCAGTTTTCTCTTCCTCGACTTCGAAAGCATTTCCTTATGATGTGTTTCTTTTAAAGACTACGTTACAGAAACACTGTCTCATTTATAGTACTTTCTCGTGTATGAGAGACAAAAATCTCTTCGATAATCACGATCTTTTTTCTTTTTCGTTCGTTGTAGTAATTCCTAATATTCCAGAGAAAGCGTCCTGGATACTGATTAGGATCGATATTTGTGTACTAAGCAAAGATGAGCAACTACACTCTGTCTTCCTCCAGCTCCAATTTAACTTCAATTCGAGTCGGATTTTACAAAACTGAACTTCTGCCAAAACACTCTTAAATACACATAAGTTTTTGAATATAATTAAATCTACGATTGATATAAATTAGTAGCATATTAATTTATTGCTTTATAAACTTTCTCATAAAATTTAAAGATAGGCACCTCCAATCTGTCCTGTTCCTACTCCATTTTCACTCTGATGAGAAAAAGCATCAACTTTGGAGTTGGAATTACCCATCTCTGATATCAACCATTTCAAAATACTTACTCTTCAGATCCTCCTGAACATATCCATAACATGCGAGCTTACAGAAGACTTCTCAGAACAAGTACTACATAAGGATTATAGCATGATCCTCATAGAAGATACTCATTATTTTTAGATTTTCAGATTTTGACAGAGTATCTTATTTAGTCATCAAAATTCTCTTTGAGGATCCTTATACAATGGTGTGAAGATGGTGTTCATCAAAAGTTAAAAATAGCATTTTAGAACACTTTCTTTTCAAAGCCCATAAAATCCATAGATCCCAATGTTTGTCACTGGAGAGCTCCGTTCGGATTGACATCCATCTTTTCAGCATTTGCAAAAGTAGAAGCCCCCTCAGATTACATAGATTCGCGTGGAATCCTCTCAACTTTGTTCAGTTTCGCCTGTATCTAAGCCTTCTCATGATCTTACTCAGAGTACATCACGGTTGCTCTTCGAACAGCTTCACATAACTTATCAAAAGCCTTATAAAATTTCACCAACATTCTCTATGCAAATACTTAGGAGATTCTTCGGCAGATCTACATTCATCATACAGAAAATCATGTGTCCTTAAGGTTTCCTAAAAAACATAGGGATTAGATTTGATATTTTGTTGTTCAACGATTCGATATTCTTCTCACAAGATACAGATAGAATCTTCTCTGATGTTCATATAAATGATCATTCTGCCAAAAAGATGCTGAATTCTTGCAATTCTGAATAAAATCCTCAGATCCTGATGTTTTTCTATCAAAAACTTACATGGAATTAGTATTACTCTTTCTTCGAGAACCTCCTTACAGCAATCTCCAGGTGTTATTTTTATGATCAAAAAGATCTTGGCAAAAACTGGAAGTAACATAGATGTAAGAATCGTTACCAAATCCTTTTTTTCTCATAAGAAACTAGGAAAAGACTTCTGAATTTTTCTCTGCGAAACGAGCATTCTCAAAGATGAATGTCATATTTCTAGCGCTTGCTCTCACGAGAGACGGAATTTCTTCGACAACGACGATTTCTTTTCTTTTTCGTTCATTGTAGTAATTCCCAATATTCCAGTCGATGCTCGTTGGAAACAGAATGGAGTGACTGTTGCTGGAGGTCATGGAAAAGGCAGTGCCACCAATCAACTCAACTACCCTTATGGTCTCTTCGTTGATGATGATCAAACGATAGTCATCGCTGACTGGGGCAATCATCGTATCATCCAATGGAAGATGGGTGACACGAATGGACAAGTAGTAGCTGGTGGCAATGGCCAAGGAAATCGATTGGATCAATTGAATTATCCGACCGATGTGTTGATCGACAAAGAGACGGATAGTCTCATTATTTGTGACCGGGTCAATCGACGAGTCGTACGATGGTCTCGTCGTAGTGGTACAACTCTAGGAGAAATCCTTATCGACAACATCGATCCTTATGGATTGGCCATGGATGATCAGAGATATCTCTACATCTCTGACATCGACAAACATGAAGTAAGACGATATCAAATAGGAGACAAGAATGGAACTATCGTGGCTGGTGGCAATGGCGAAGGTGCTGGTCTCAATCAACTCAACTTTCCGACCTACATCTTTGTCGATCAACAACAGACTGTCTATGTGTCAGACAACAACAATCATCGTGTAATGAACAGGAATAAAGGTGCAAAAGAAGGAATTGTCATCGCTGGAGGTCAAGGCTATGGGAATGCTCTGACACAATTGTCGTATCCTCAAGGACTATTCGTCGATACATTGGGTACCATCTATGTGGCAGACTCGGACAATGATCGAGTGATGCGTTGGCCTAAAGGAGCGAAACAGGGCACTGTCATTGTGGGTGGAAATGGTTATGGAGAAGGAGCAAATCAGCTCAACTATCCCGACGGTTTGTCCTTCGATCGACATGGTAATCTCTATGTCGCCGATCGTTACAATAATCGTGTTCAACGTTTTTCAATCGAATAGACTCGTCGTGATAGATTTTTTTTTCTTTCCTTTCAAATAAATCACATTGAATTGATGAAATGAATGGCTTATTCTATTCTATTCGCGCGCGCGACCAGGAACCATCCTGGTGGAGCCGTGGCGAGCGTAACGCTCATGCACGCACAGGACAGACTCATATCATTCATACCCTCCCCTCGAGAGATATGTCAATGAGTCTGAATAAGCCTGGTCGTGTGCCACGGACACCAAGACAGTTCCTGGCCGAGCTTTTAGGGGCTACCCGGAAGTCCTTCATAAGAGGCGAAGCCCTAACCCTCAACGAACAGAACTCACCCTCGTCTCTCACTAACACTCACTTTTCTTAGTCTCACTCTAACCTCTCAATTTCACCACTTATTTTCATCTCAAAAAGAAAAAAAATTACTTACCGTGTCTGATGTTGATGACACGATGATATTGATAGCTGAAAGGAACAAAAAAAAATCTAATCAATGTTATTTAATGAAATAGAATGAGATGACTTACCCTAATGTTATCTTTTTCTTCATTGTTTATTCCCTAAAATAAATAAAAAAAAAATAATAAAAAGATCAAAGGAGGCCTTTCCCCACCATCCTTATGATCGTAAAATAAAAAAAAATAAAAAAAAAGTAAAACTAATACCTACATTTTTTTTTATTGTATGGTTTAATCTTGATTTGATTAATTTCGTATCATCGAGGCCAATCTAAAACAGAAAAAGAAAAATGATTATTATTTGATGCAAAAATTTGAATGATTTTACATAGAAAATCATTCGTATTTATACCTTGAAAAATCATTTTTTTCTCTCGTCGAAAATGATATACATATTTAATTTTACATGTTGATCATTGATCGTCCTTGATGACAACATGAACAATGATTTATGGACGAGAGAAAGACAAAAAAGAAAAAGAAAACTCCTCTCTTCACATATATTTCTTTTTTCTTTCCTTTCTCTCTTGTTAACATTAGCATACATAATGATTTATTTATGAATTTTTTTAGATTGTATCTCATTTGGAATGAAAATGTAATTGTTTTGTTTATTTTTATTAATGATAATCAATAATAACATTTATGTATAATTATTTTATTTGTTATGATAAAATACAAAATATATTACATCAAACGAACTATTAGTTAAGTAGACATACTTAATGTTAAAAACTGTTGATTCAATTTCATAGACTGTCGAAAAAAACAAAACGATGGAAGTTTTTAAACACTTAAATTTTTACAATAATATCCTTTTTGGATGAACATATCTAAATATCAACAAAATTTTAGATCAAAATAATCTATTACAGAAGTTTGAAAAAATCTTTCCTTGTTAGGTGGATTTATCACAACAGAAAAGAATGAAACAAGATATATTCTTCTTTTGAATAAAAATTTATTTATATCGACATCAAGATCAACAATTTGTTATTCATGTACAAGTATGTATTAATCAATAAAGAAAAAAGATTAAAAAATATATATATAATAATGTTTTTAATGATTTGGAGAATTTTATGTTTAATGAATAATGTTGATAAATTCATGTGTACAATTAATTTAACTAATAATTAAACAGCAACATCGTCAGAATTCTTCATTATTATTATTTTCATCATCAACATATGATTAATAGTCCATTACTTGATTTATTATTCACTACAACTATTAAAATGAGTATGTATTAGATGACAATATTGTTATAAAGAACAAAATATTAACATATAATTAGTATTTAATTGGAATAGAATATAAGAGAAATCGAATGAAAATTAATATTAATTTTACAATGTTATTAAATATTATTCAAGTAAGATAATTATTCAATGAAATATATTTTACTAGTTGAAAAAAAATCATAGCGTCTGTTGAGTTACTCGTGAAAATATTCTGTTGTTAATAGACTTGAACAATGTTATTATCGGAAAAGCTAGATTTACAAAAAAAATAAATATATATATATATATTTTTTAAAATGATCCAATCTCACAGGTGCGATATTTTTTCTAAGGCTTTACTGGTCATATACTTAAGAAAAAAATCTATGTATAGTTTTTCTATAAACATTATTTGATTGTTCGATATGATAGCAAAGTCTGAAATACGAACTCGCTTCTCAGCAATTAAACAATAATTTTCAAAAAGAATGCATAAATTTTTTTCTACTTGTTGTTTATCAGTCGAATAAAACCATTAGAAAAAAAATATATCGAGCCTAACGAGATTTGATGTTTTTGATGTATTTCAGTTTTCGTAGACTATAATGAAATTCTTCTCGTACTAAATTGTCGGACACTGTTCTTCATTTTCGAATGAACTATTTTTTTCTAATAGATTTTAGAAAATTTTATGCTAAAACAATGAAAGTGATTCATACATTAGATTTTTAAAAAAATGAATACTCGTTGTTATACTTATCATAAGGTAATTTTATTTCATTGAATAGATAATGTAACAAAATAAAAACTATTTTCAAATAGATTCGTAAACATAAAACTCAATTAGGTAAACAATATTTTGTTGCATTATCATGATATGACCTATTCAACGTTTACTTAAATCTATATCAACAGCATATATTGATTATCAATTATTTATTAATTCAGTGGATTAACAGTATTGATAATTGTCGAGTAAGAAAACGATTCCGACAGTATTAAGTATATTGTTGTTAAATTTTAGTCAGAATTCCTTGATGCATATCGTGATTATACAGAAAAATTTCAATTTATTGAACTTTCACAAGAATTAACAATAATACCAATACATTTAATTCGTTTATTCTTTTCTTCGATTGTCTTGAACATATGTGGAAAACATTCGGTATAAAAACATATTATATTTATTCAATTAAGGGATATTCAAAGTTTATTTGATATTAATCCATTATTATTAACAATTGATGATACTATTATTGATTGTTTTTGTTTTTGTTTTTTTTTGTGGAACTCAGATCTTTTTTTGAAGAAAAGTAGAGTGATTGTAAGTTTTAAAGATATGTGAGACGAAAATTTGGAAGTTTGTCAGATTCGTATTCATAATATTCTCATTAGAATTTATTTCACATTTTCTCAAGGCATCTTGTTGGTGATCATTTATGAATGTGGTCATTATAGACTTTCACTTTAATAGTAGCAACTATGAGAAAAACCGGTGGTTCCAACTGCAACTGAAAGTTATAGTTAAATATTCCACGACTTTAAGTGTATAAATAAAAAAAATACTGAAGACGTTTTTAGATATGATAAGATTCAATTCTGGAATAGTTTTCTCTATACCAGTACCCACATCCTTTTCGAGAATCGCGAAGGAAACTCATCCAAAAGAAGTTAAGAGATTCAAAAATGAAAACATATGAAAATCATAGTAACTTTAAAAGCAAAATTGACTAAAATTCGATTTCTCTTGATCCCTCGTAGTCTGGTAGAAATTTTTCATTTCAAGTATGTTGTATGAGTATAATGAGACTAAAGAATATATGTAAGTTTTGCATTATAATCTTGAATGAGTTGCATTGACATAATCTCTATTTTTTATTTAAACAAAAATTTTTCTAATTAAAGAAACTGAACAATTTGGAATACTTTGTTCAATTGATGGTCATACATGTATCTTCATCGTTATCATTGATTTCAACATCATGAAAATAATAAAACCGATGAATTCATTTAATTGATAAAGTAACTTAAAAAAAACTGTAATATTCAATTTTTATTTTAGTCTTCACTTATTATATGTTTAAATTTTAGTGGTCTTCATAAAGCAAAGAAACGAGTAAGTGGAACTTTTTTTTATTTAATTTAGAATCTAATAAACATTTAACAAAAAAAAAATGAATTGTTCAATTCATTTATTAGAACAGGAATGGTCGAATAGTTTCGATTCAAGTAAACAAATGAATGTATGATCAAAAGACAAGTAAGTATTTCAAATGAGAATTTTTCATAATTAAACTAAAAATATTCAGAAAATTTTGGCTCATTTAACAACTGAAACGAATCGAAAATGCGTGCGCTCATAAAGTTCTGATCTACTAGTGAAACTCGTCGTGATATCTCATTTACTATCAAGTCAAAACTTTCAAACACATTAGTTATTCTTTCTTGTTGTCTATCTATTGATATTGATTACATTTTGAATAATTAATATTTTAAGTTTGTTTTATAAAAACTTATGAAATAGTTCAGTGACTGAATATTCTGATTGGTGTTTTTATTTTCGTTGTTTTGACTGTAGTGATATATTAAATCATGAGAAAAAATAAACTAAATAAGAATTATTGTTAGGTTTAATAAGCGTAGCTACAAGGAAAATAAAAGTGACTTCTACTAAATTACTTTTAAAGTAATTCAAAAACTAACTGTACTGAAGCTCAAATAGAAATTTCATAGATGAACAATTCAATAATCATCTCTAAAGTTATCATGATAACATAGGGTACAAAAGCCGTGAAACTAATTATTCCTTTATGTAGTGGTGAGTTAAGTTTGCATTAATTGATGTTTGCACTAAACAAAATCAATATTTTCATCATTCATAACTTCTTTAAATAGATGATGCAACTGATTTTCAGTCTCTTCTGCTATGTAAATATATAATTAGATAAGAAATTCTGTCGAACTAACTTCATGCTATAAAGTTAGGTTTTGAGTTGAAAAAGAAAAAAATGAGCCGAATAAAATTTTTGTATCGATTTCAGTTCGGAGTTGTTTCAAACATCTACTTCTATTATGGAATGTTTAAATTAGAAATAACTCATGAACAAATATTCTCGAAATTTATTGTTTTCCCTAATAAATATCCAAAACAGGAAGGAATATTTTATTATAACACTTCACAGTAGAAGTCATGCTGACATAAATACCTTCATAAGAAAAATTAGTATAAAGTACCTGTAAGAATCTTTCATTTTTCTTTGATGTCATTTGTATGCCAAATTTAGTATAATAGTTTTGATGCAAGAAAGTACTCGGTACTTATCTCAAGAAAAATCTTAGTATTCTTCGAGAAAAGAACTCCAAATGTTTTGCTATTCTCGAAGAAAAGCGAAACCTTTTCCTCATTTTGAACTGTCACAATCTGCAAAAGCAGGATATAATTAGATGTTCAATATAATTCCTCGACACAATTGATCATCGAACATTATTCAAGGCATCATCAAAATTTTTCTTACTTTTTAGTTTAGATGTTAAAAGGACGAGATCAATTTTTAAATAAAATCTTATCAAAAACTTTTCTCATCTATCGAAGGACAACCATCAGATGAGAATATGAAAAGTTGAGTGGCGAAATATGGTTATTCCGAACCTTCGTTCTCCACATATCAAACTTTTACTAGATGTTTAATCAGCTTAAAAACATGTAGTTTCCATCAAGTCATCTAGAAAATAGAATTTCGATTTCAAGCTTTGCGCGAACAAAGTTATTAACGAGATTCGTTAATAAAGAAAAATTTCGTTTATTCAATATCTCAGGATAGAAAAAAAGAACCAGAAAAGTTACAACATGCCCAAAGAATAAATCTAATGTTTATGCAAAATTTGATTTCAGAAGTCGATTTTTCATGTGACCTGAGTAGGACTACAGATCTTTGTTGAAAAACAACGAAGATTCGAAAAACAGAACCATTCTAAACTTTTCTATTACTCATCAAATGAACATCGCCTCAATCGAAAAGTATATCGTTGTTTCAAGCTGAATTTTTGTTCACATTTAGGATTTGTTCATGAAAACTGTTCATCATTTGAATTCTTCGCCATTTATACAATCCATTCAAGAACATAAGTTCGCTGAATATTAGCTTTAATTTTTTTCCATTCGATTTCTATACTTTTACAATGAATGTATAAACTAATAAAGCAATCGGTATCTTTGTTTTACTCAAAACAGAAAATTTGATATGTTATTATCCTTTTTTGTTT